TCGATGATAAGGTTCCTTGAGAAGCCACCAGTCCACAGGACCTTGGAGGTCTCTTCATTCCATCGCTCCAGAAACTTGCCCAAAGGCTCATCTCTGCCCTGCTTGACGGACAACAGGTAGGAGAAGTGCTTCTTCGTCTTTGCCCTTGCGGCAAAATGAGTGAGGAAGCGGGTAGCTAACTCCCTCCATGAGTCAATGCATTCATCAGGGAGATCATTGAACCAGTCATATGCCTCCCCCTCTAAAGTGGAGGGACACATACGTCAAATGTACTCATCGCTAGCGCCCAACATATACATGTCGGACTGGTAGCGGGTATAGTGCCCCTGGGGGTCAGTTTTACCCCCATAGAGCTGAATATTATGTCCCTTATACTTTGGGTGTATAGGGGCCTGCATGATCCGTGTGGTAAAGGGGGTGGCAGTCCTTACCCTTACCGTTACGGGCTCCTGGTTGACCTGAGCCTGGAGTTGCTGGACCTGGAGCGCTAGCGCTTCCAGCTGAGCATCACGCGCCGTGTGCTGGGGAGGCGGTGGCGGTGGTGGTACCGCTGTAACAGCTACAGCCCGCAACTCATTGACCTGTTGGGTCAGGAGGCGGACCTGCTCTTCCCTCGGGTCCTCCTGGCGCTGGCGCCGCGGTGGAGATTCCACCTGCCGCCTCGGCGGTGATAGCCTTGGCTGGCACAGGGGCTGTCGTTGTTGCTGGCGCAATGGTGAAACGCGTTGTTGCCTTGGGGGAGAAGGCATCTGTTGGTGGCGTGGGGGGGGGGGGGGGAATCTGGGGGAATGATTGCCCCCTAGCCTCTCCAAAGCGGGTACACGCTCTGTAGTCCTTCTCCCAGGCTGTTGTTGCTGCTGGTGCCGATGGATGTCGAGGACTGGGGTGTTTGCCTTGTTAATTCCCCGTATGTTGACAGAGAGGCGCTGATTTGCCATAGATCTGTCCTCCAATCTGGAGAAGATGGGACGCCTTCCCACCTCAATCCACGGATTGGGGTTGTCATCCTGTTGTGGGGAGGGGGATTGGGAGGAGTCCTCTGTGGTGACAGCATAGACACCTTCATCATTAGTTCAACTATATTCAACACGGCGGGTAATGAACTCGGACGGCAATGCGGGAGGCAGCAGAGGTGCCATCCTCTGTGTTGCCGCAGTGGGATGAGAAGTCCCTGCTTGTTGTGCGAGAGGCACAACGTTCACAAGCGCTACGGAAGCCACCTGGCGGGTTGGGGGAGAGTTGATCCCCGGAGTCGCCCTCTGGCGAGGGGGTGATTGATAGACCATCCGCGCCGGTCTCTCCACCACCAAAAGAGCATCAATAGAGCCTACTCTCAGAGAGCGAGATCTGGAGTTCTCTGGAGAGATAGGCGAGTGGCCTGAGGAGCCACAACAGCTGCGGGCTGAGATTGCAGCGTTGGGAGCACCTGCTGCAGTCCAGTGATGAGGGCGCCAACCGCCGCAGAGGGATCCACCATCAGAAGGTTCTGGTATTGTGGGATCGCCTGTGCGGACGACATTGCCACTGCATCACGATTGAAAGAGATCTGTTGGCGCAGATCTTGAGAAGTACGTTGGATCTGACTGCGTAGATCGACAGAAGTTCCAGCGGCTTGTTTTCCCTTGGCGGCCCTCCTAGCGCCGGAAGTAGTAGTAGCTTCCAGCGAGGGCTCAACCCGCGCGACGGCGGCAACAGCACGTCGAGTGCTGCTTGCAAGTCTCACAGTGTGATTGATGAGACCTCAAGCATCCAAAATTCGATCTGCTATCTGGGGGCTCGGGCCTATGTTGAGAGGACTCGTTCTGCTATCTTCCGTTCTTGCTTTGGAGGTGGTTTGACCGCCTGGTGCTCTGCTTGGCGTTGACCTGGAGTAAGACTCCTGAGGTCAGACCTGGTGGCGACCTCGGATGTCTCGAGGTCGGGCTCATGAATCGTCGACTTTGGTTGGCTCCTGAGCTCGATGTTTCCCGACCTCGGGGTCGGGGTCGGTGGACTCCGTCATCTGCTGAGTTTACTTGATTCCTGAACTTGATGTTTCCCGACCTCGGCGGTCGGGGTCGGGGTCGGATTTAGACGTGGACTTAGTATTTTCTTGCCCCCGATGAACCCGCAAGGCTCTCTACCGGCGGTCGTGGTACCCCTGGGGTATACGGGGATATACTCCATCAAACCTTTCATAGCAGTTGCCGGGATTTGAACCCGGGACCTAACTCTTGTGGCACTCCCTCGCTACCAGTTGAGCTACGCCCACCGGTTTCGATCTACCAAAAACACACTAGTATATGGTGTCTACTTATTTATTACACATTAGTATTCTTACTCCTCCAAAAATCATTCTAGGCACTCGACTAGTGCCTGCCTAGGCACTAGACAATGACTAGGCACCCCGATTTTAGTTTAGACATTTCGACTAATTGATTTGATGTTTAAGTGAATTAGTTAACCGTCTGGGAAGCCTTGTTGCTCTCCCAGAGCGCTTAATCGACTGCCTAGGCATCCAGAGTCGCCAAACATTTTATTTTGCCTTTTTATTTAAGTGTTCTAAGAGATATATGTAAGTTTAACTTTAACGATGCATATGAATAAAGCTACTCATTGTAGGTTAAGATAGATACTATACATGTTTATATATAAATTAAGTGTTGTTATTGTTTAATAATATTTACATAATGAAGTTAAGTGAATAGGTATAATATGTTATTAAATGTGACATCTCTGTTGTTCATGCCATTTAATAAGTTTGTGTGTGAGTATTTTTTATGCACACACAAACACAATATTACTAATCATACATATGCAAAACTATTGACAAAACTATAATCTCTTTGTCTCCGACTAGTCCCCGCTTAATGGTGGAGAAGAACGAGACGAATTCCAAAGAGTTGGACAACAGAGACGAATTCCAAAGAGGTGGACAACAGAGAGGCACGGAAAAACGATCTTCCTCCTCCATCTTCTAATTCCAGATTGAAAACGGCGAATTTGGAGCTTAAAATAGTAGTGACCAAAATCCATCTGCTCCGGCGCAGACTACTCCGATCTAATTCGATTAGGAATCTGGCTTCAGTTTTAAGCGCACAGATATTTCTGAAATAAAAAAGATACAAGTGAAAAGGTGAAAATCTAGGTATGAAAGAAAATATAACGTGGGCTATAAACAAAATGCAACCACTATTTTCTTTACTATCTATATTTTTGTTGTCTTCCTCAAGAAGGGGTGTTATTGGAGTGTTAGTGAGAATGTTGCTCTATGCAACACTTGAGTTACCATATACGAAGATGGCGTGATTGACATAAATCAACCGGGGGAGAGTTTTTGGGGCCAGTTTCACGAATTATTTTCGAGAAAAAGTCACGTTCCTCGGACTCGGGATTCAATTGAGTCCCGTTTCAAGATCATCAATCACCAATGTTCTCTATCGAAATGTATATTTTTATTTCACAAGTAATCAGAGAAAAAATCAAATGAAAAACATTACTTATAATATTTTAATTAATGTTTACTAAATCGATATGTAAAAACATGCAGAGTGTATTTTATTAGCGATGCTGAAATGCATAAAAGTAGAAGTCAAAACACTATTTTCATATGGACGGAGTCCATTTTTTATAATCCTATAACTGAAGAAATATATTCATCGGAAGAGATGATAGTGAATGGAAGAAATATCATGACATATGTTTGAAGGAAAGAAACATCATGACATATATTGAGTTTAGTGATGGACAACTCATGGTTGCACTTGAAGATAATAGCAACAACATAAATAAAGGGGTGTTTGAGTTTGGGTGAAAGTGCAGAAATGATTCTGGTGCTCTAATTTACTTCCAGAATCATTTTTTTAGAAGATGGGGGTGACCAGCTTCTGAAAATTGATTCTGATTCTCTGACATAGCTTTAAAAAAGAAGGAGAAGAAGAATAAGTTCCAAACACCCCAAAAATGTAGACAAAAGATTTGATATGAAGAATAAATGGATAAATAAAAGAGAAATTACCCAAAATAGGACTAAAACGTTTGTATATTCTAAAATAGGAATATCATGTTTTTATCCCCAAAATGAATAAGAGTAATTGATTGAAGGAATTCCCAAAAATCAGTGTGCAAAAATTTAGCAATATATTGGAGATTTTGACACAAATCAAAGTGAAAAGGTAGTGCAAGAGCAAACTTTGTGTATTTAACTGAATCACAATAGCAATCGGCAATAATGCAATATGCAATACTATAAGGAGTGGAGTACCTTATATTCTCTCTCTGTGTGTGGGTCTCTCGTTCTGTTTTCTCACCGCTTTGCAAATTGGGTTAGCCATTCGAGGTGTTTGACGGATAAGTGCAGATGTCTAACATCTAATTCCCAAAGATGTATTTTTTTTGAAGTTTTCTGGGATAGCGCAAAACGGAGTTGGTAGATCCGAAAATGGAGGCTCTGGACCATGTCAGAACATTTCGGATTTCACTCCTCCGAATTCGTATGTGGCGTGCTGATTTATTTTGTTTGGCCTCAATTTGGTTGCTGAATTTTTCACTTCTTATGTTTTTTATATTTATTTTTTTTAAAAGATTTTTTTTTTATTTGTTATAAATCATAAGTTATTCAACTTAAGTAAAAATTGTACAATATTGTTCATGAATACGCGTTTTACAAAAAGTTGACCCATTCAATTAAATAAGCACATGTTTTACAAAATTGGCCCAATAAATATTTTGAACACAAATATTGAACCCGAATAATAAAAACCTAACCATTAAAAAATGTGAACCCAAAAAATAACAAAGTACATCGATTAAAAGTATCAATATACTTAATCAATGTGACAAGTTTTAAAAACAGTTGACCCATTCAGCATTATTAACTTGAAAGTAATTACAAATACAATTTACAATATCACGTGTTTAATAATAAGTGACCCATTAAGTCATATGAACTCAAAATTAAACAAAGTTCGTAACATATTAAAAGTACATTTGAAACATATGGCTAATAAAAGTGTTACAACATTAAAACAAACTACAAAGAAAAGAATTAATACACCATAAGAGAGTACAAATGTGAATCAATCATGTTGTGCTCTGCGTCTTGGACGCATATCCATCTCATTTGGAAATCTTGTTTCTTGACGGCGTCCTACTCGAGAAGTTCTGGAAAAGTATTTAGTGGAAGAAGAATGAACTCATTTTGTGGCCACTCATTCAGATTCGGCAATGACATGATATCACTGGAATGTGCATTTATGTAAGAACTTAGTTTGTATACCTCTGGAATAAGATGATCAACAGGGCACTTAAGAAAATGGCAGACAACATGCGCATGGATGCATGACATGCCGTTCATCCTCCAACAACCGCACTCACAGACAAGCCTCGATAGATTCACCGTAACATGTGTTGCATTATCCACGACGACTGAGTAAATTTCTGTGTAGTGGTTGTGTGGAAGAACCATAATGTGAGGTCTTTGGTGCCAACGTTCCATAATCTCTTTCCGAATGTTGTCCGGAAAATGATATCCAGCTTGCTGCCATATCATACCAGCACTACGACATTGGGCGAAGAGCTGGACTAGTTTGTCAAAAGTTGCTCTTACAAGGGCAGTGATTGGCAATGTCCTACATCCTTTGAGAGCATTGTTGAAACTTTCCGAAAGATTTGTTGTCAAAATACCATAACGACAACCACCATCAAAACAAAGTGCCCACTTTTCTTGGGGAATGTCATTTAAATACTTTAATGCTCTCTCGTTAGTACCCCTAATTTGTTGCATGAAATGGTTAAATTCACTTCCAAGAAATACCAACTAGCCATGTTTCCACTAGTGGTAGGGAATAATGAACCACCTAACAACTGCCAAATGAGGGCCCTAGTGTGTTGAGTCACCTCGTTTTCATTGCTCCAATCGGTTAATGGAATGAGGTGGATATTCGTTACTTTTATGGTAGCTGAATTTAAATCATCATCTTTTGGTATAAAACCAACAGACTGTGCACACATCTGCAACAACGCCGCCTTATCAGTAATCGTGGGACCAGTGAGTGGTATGCCGTCAATGGGCAACCCCAACAAGACTTGCACATCCTGTAAAGTCAATCCTACCTCACCAAAGGGCAAATGAAATGCGTGTACCTCGGGTCTCCACCTCTCCACTAACGCAGTCAGAAGTGACTAATCTAACTGCACTTGTCCTATTCTCTCGACACCGTGAAACCCAGATGCTCTCAACAACCGTACCACCCAGGATGACGCGGACCATCATCAACATAGGCACGTGACGAATAGTGATGACACCTCAGTTTGTCATCTCGAAATGCTGATTCGTGCCACACACGATCGACACGATGCTCACCGGGCATCATAACTAAAACAGAACGATCCCGAGGGCCAGGGTGTGCAACTCGTTCAGCCATTACAACCTACAATTAATACGTAAACAAATACTAAATTTTTTATCATGTTTTTAATTTAGTGTTAATAAATGTGTTCAATAATATTATGTACTTTAAAAGTTCTACAATTATTACTACTAATGGATATGAAGTAAGTAAATATGAAAAAATTCTACAATTATAACTACTAATGGAATAATAAGAACAGATAATATTAAACTTCTTTTTGTAATAATAATAATAATAATAATAATAATAATAATAATAATAATAAACTCTAACCTTTGAACAAGAAGCCTTGTTTGTTTTGTTGGTGTGAAAGTGTGAGAGGAGGATAGGAGATGTTGGTGAGTGTGAAAGTGTGGAGGAGGAGCAATATTTATGTCGAAAATGTTATCACGGTGGAATCCGAAGGATCAATGAAAACGCTCAGAAATCCTTATCTTCTGCATTCGGAGTTGTCAGCTCCGAAAATGGGAAAGCCTTAAAGCCTCTATCGACCGCTTCAAATTCGAAGTACTGAACTCCATTTTACTCTTTTTCCTCAAAAAAAAAAATACACCTGCTTTATTTCTACTCTGTTCCGTCATTTCCTCTAGCCATTCGGCTCAGGGAGACATTTTTCACATCACTCGGCACTTCCACCCGATCAAAAGAAATTTGAAGGAAAAAACAAGTTGTTTCGAGCACCTGACTATTATTACAAGTAGATATGGTGATGTGGGTATTCGGATACGGGTCACTGATATGGAAACCGGGTTTCCACTACGATGACTGCCTTGTGTGTTTCATTAAACGCTATCGTCGCGTCTTCTACCAAGGCAGTACTGACCACAGAGGAACTCCGGAATTCCCGGGCCGGACAGTGACGTTGGAGCCTGCAGATGGGGAGATATGCGTGAGTTCAACCTTCTGCTTTTCTTCCTTTACTCAGATATCCAATGGTTTCGTTTTAATTTTTCTTTTCCATCTTGCTGATATGCAATGCGGCTGAAAGATGCAATCTGTGCAAAGGAACAAAGAATTTGCTGATAGTATTCTGTAAAATGTGAACTCGCAAAAATTGAGTCATATTTGATATTAATATACAGGTCTACCATTTTTAAGGATGCCTGGATGTGTATCCTTTTCTGGATGTAGCCATTAGAATGCATTTCATTTTCAAATATCTTTGTTGTGTTAATATGTATGTGTTCTCAAAACATATCTAACATTCTAACATGTAGCATTTACTTTCTTGGATTTGTCATATTTGAAAATTGGCTGGCGGTTGCCATAACCATGCCCTACTCCTATCAAGCTTTCAATGCTCAACACGTTTCATTAAGTTTGTCCAATCAATGGAAAAAATACACTTTAAATGATGTAAGAATTAATGAATAAAGAAGCTCTTTCTCAAGAAGCTTTCCAAACTTTGCAGCTCTTAAAAATTCCCATTCAAGAAGCTTCATTTGGACAAACAAACACATATTTGGGAATCTGTTATTCTAGCTTGTTATGATATGTTTCTTGAAATGTCTTATGCTCATAAGGTTATATTAACTTTTAAAATCTACAAACTATTTAATCTACAAACCTATTCAATCACAAAAAAAATCGTTATAAGCTTTGATAGCCAGTAAGCTACATATAGTCATATACCTTTGTAATGGTTTTATCTGCCCGTGGGAAGATGTATTGAGCTTATTCAGATATGCTTCTGAATATGAACTTTGCCTAAAGTCATTTTCAATCACTATAGGTTTTTTAATGAGTCCATCTCGAGAAACACAAAAAAACAAGTGCATGTGATAATACATAAGTTGAAGATAATCTCATCCAAATAGGATCTTTATCCAAATGGATAAAATGGAATTTTAAAAGGAGAACTAAACGTATTGTTTCCACCGTAGGTGAGTGCCTTTGCGGCACTGGGGTAATGATGATGATGAACTAAAAGTATTGTTAACACAAATTTCCAAGTGCATATATTTTATAATTGTTATTACTAAAAGTCATGACATGAATCGAAATATGAATATCTATCATAGATCGATTCATGTTAGCCGACCCCAAATTCTTTTGGGATTAAGGCTTGGATGTTGTTGTTGTTGTATTACTAAAAGTCTGCATTTGGTGTTCATTGATTTAGAAAAGACATATGATAGGGTACCTCTAGAAGTTCTTTGGTGGGCCTTAACTAGAAAAGGCATATCACGTAAGTATATCAGCATCATCATGGATATGTATGATGCTTGTACTACAAGTGTCCGCACTAGTGTAGGGAGGACCGCATAGTTCCCTATTACTATTGGAGTGCACCAAGGATCTGCTTTGAGTCCTTTCTTATTTGCTTTAGTCATGGATGAACTTACGAAGTCAATTCAAGAAGATATACCGTGGTGCATGATGTTTGCCGACGATATTGTATTGATTGATGAGACACAATCCGGTGTTAAAGCAAAGTTGGAAGTATGGTGACAAACATTGGAGAGCAAGGGTTTCAAACTGAGCGAAAGCAAGACTGAGTATATGGAGTGCAAGTTCAGTGGAGGTAGAAGCAGTAGCAACAGTGGGATTACTCTTGATGTTAAGGAGATACCGGTGTGTGATATGTTCCGTTACTTGGGATCCATAATTCAGAAGGATGGTGAATTAGATGGAGATGTATGTCATAGAATCAGAGTTGGGTGGATGAAATGGAATAGTGTTTCAGGATTTCTATGCGATCGAGGTATGCCGACTAAACTGAAAGGTAAATTTTATCGTACAACAATTAGGCCGACGTTAATGTATGGCGTAGAGTGTTGGGCGGTGAAGCAATGCCACATTCAAAAGATGAGTGTGACAGAGATGCGTATGTTGCGGTGGATGTGTGGACATACCAGAAAAGACCGCCTGAGGAATGAGGTAATCAGACAAAAGGTGTGAGTAGCACCTATAGAAGATAAGATGCAGGAGTCTCGTTTGCGGTGGTTTGAGCATGTGCATAGAAGACCGAGTGATGCACCTGTTAGACGACTTGAGGGGTGGGGAGAAGAGTCAGAGAAGAGAGGGAGGGGAAGACCCAAACAGACTTGGATTAGAGTAATCAGAACTGATATGCGTCTTCTTGGATTGGATGAGAGTATGACTTTGGAGAGAGCAAAGTGGAGGACGCACATCCATGTGGACGATTGCTGTCTTGTCTACCTTTCCTCTCTTGTTTCTTTTATCGTTTATCTTCCTTATCTTTTTATATTCTTATGTTATTTTTATCTTCTAACCTTTTTATGCTCTTTTATTTATTTTTCTTTTATCTTGGTTATATTCTTGTGTTATTGTTATCTTATATTTATGTATCTTTATTTTATTCATTTTATCTTACTTTTTTTCCTTTTCTTGTCCGCCTTCTCTTTTTGGCATCGATATCATAGATCGATTCATGTTAGCCGACCCCAAATTCTTTTGGTATTAAGGCTTGGATGTTGTTGTTGTTGTTGTTGTATTACTAAAAGTCTAAAAGTATGCTTGTAAGTTGTTCTGTTTATCTTAAATCTTATTGCTTATTCTTAAATCTCATTCTCCTCAGATTTGATCATATGAGAAATATTCAGGTCAAATAAAAAATATCAGATCATACTCCGTATCATTTTTGGCAAGACTGGAAAAGGTCACAATACTACAACAACAACAACCAAGCCTTAATCCCAAAAGATTATGTGGTCGGAAAAAGTCACAATAGATCAAATAAAATCAGTCTTATATTTCACATAACTTATCACCTGAGATTTTTATTATTTTTTTATTACTATACTGCTACTAAACTCATATTATTATTACTATTATTACCTTTTGAACATTATTTCATTATTATTCTTTGTAATATTCTTCAAAATTTGTAGCCTATATTTTTTATTCTTACTGCTATACTGTTACAAAATTATTACTCTTTATTATTTCTATCAGTATTGTAAACACTATTTTTAATATCATTATTGTTAATTAGCACCCTTATTGAAAATTATAATTGTTTTATTTTGTTGTTGTAATATTAATAGTAATTACTCTTATTATTATTATTATTATTACTATTATTATTATTTTCATGGATATTTTAAATGGTATCAACTATTCTCTGTAGATAAAAAAATATACATACAACTACTATTGAAATGATATGAACTATATATATATATATATATATATATATATATATATATAATTCATATCATTTACCACCAAAATCGGTGGGGTAAATGCCGGGAGACATTTACCAGAGTTTTATTAAAGAATGAAAATTACAAAAGAGAGGAGGACCAGACCAAAGCCTCTCAAAACAAAAATAAACAAAGGTTAAAATGGGTGGGTAAAACCCGGCCCAAGAGACCTAACAGTCTATCCGAAGAGATGGGGCCCAAAAAGGTCTATGAAATATGAGTTCCGAGCCCGATCCAGTAAATCATGAACCTGAGTGTAATTAATCTGATGGGCCAACTGTTGCTTAGCCAGGAAATGTGCGATCCAATTACCTTGTGAACTATATATATATATATATATATATATATATATATTTATATTTATAATATGAGGTCACTTTCTACAAATGTGGTCATTTGACCTATCAGAAATTGTTTCCAAACCATCAATTGGAGTATATTCTGTTTGATACAAGTTTTTGATGGGTTAAGCAGCCTGACATATTGACATGTAATAGGAACTACATATCAATTTTGTTATATAGGGGTAGTATGGTATTCAGCGTTTTCAACCCCAACACATTGCTTAATGCATCGTTTTAGTTATATAAAAAATTGTGTTTTGGCTAAAAAGCCAATAACAAGAAAAACCCATAGTCAAATAGTTACGTAGTACTACCTTTGTCAAGTTGGTAAAGTTTTAAGGGATGGAGGGAGTATTATTTAAATAGTCTAAAGTGTGTATTATTATTGGTCTATGAGACTATGAGTGATAGTTTGTAATCTCTTTAATTTATTTTCTCTTATTATTTCTTGCACTATTATTATTTAACTATGTTGCACGGAAACGCGAAAATCATGAGGAAATGGGAAACGGGAAACGTCAACTTTTGCTCAAAAAATGCTTATTTGGAGAGTTTCCAAAGAGTTTACGAAAGTTTCCGAAACGGGAAACATACTCTTCCCCGAGAGTTTCCGTGCTACATAGTTATTTATTATGTAGTATTATATTATTATTGTTTATATGCTTTTAGTTAATTTTTTTTTGATAAAAATAATAATAGTAGTTATTAATGATATGGTTGTTATAGTAATAACAAATGTTGTTCAATTATAATGTTAAAATAAAGGAAAAATTGATTATAATAATCTCAGCTATTGGCGGTCCACTTATAATAATCCCAACCATCGATTATCTCAGAATAATCCCAACTTTAGTGACCTTCCGCCAATAATGGTCCGACATGACCGGCTATAATCAAATTCCTATAGTTTCTAAAGTGGATGAGAAGAGATATAACAAGTAATCCCTATAAATAATTCAACTTTTAATTTTTACGCTTTATTTCTATTTAAAATCCACTTATTATAGCAGGTCATATCTGGTCATGGACCATTATTGGCGGAAGGTCACTAAAGTTGGGATTATTCTGAGATAATCGATAGTTGGGATTATTATAAGCGGACCATCAATAGTTGGGATTATTACAATCAATTTTTCCTAAAATAAATTACTGCAGTTGTTGTCAAATAAGTATCATTGTAACTAGTAATAAAGTTATTGTCATTACAACATTATTATTTTTAACTTAAATCTGATAAAGTAAGATTTATGTCTCATTGACAGGTAACAAAGTTATCACCATTATAGCAATAACATAAATAAGATAATATTCAAATCAGAAGTATTTAGATCATAAAAAAGATACAGATCAGATAAAAAAGGTTTGGCTCTGATAGAAAAATTTGTGTCTGATCAGATCTTGAGAAATCTAAATAAGAAACATTGAGATCAGGTGAGGGCCAATGACAAGAACTTCTTGTATCCTGTCGCTTCAAAATGAGACTAAAGCTCAACTTTTCATGATACTGGATTGAATAAACATTGTAGGTTTGAGATTCCATGATAGTTTTTCATCATATCTAACATCTTCATTTAGTAGCTTGACTATGCTCCTGTTGTCTATATAATCTCGTTTCTTCTTAAAATAAGCTGCTAATGCTCTATGTTTTATATTAAGTATCATTAGTTTTTTTCCTCTGTAGTGGGGTATTGCTTACAAGATAACTAAAAAGGAAGATCAAGAAGTAGCGATAACGGTATGTGTTTGTATTCAATAACTGTTTCTGTTTCTAATCATTTTAGTGCACAAACTTATTGCGGTTTAGCATGCAATTTTTTCTTTGTTTTTAGATGGACAAATGAACAACTTTTTTATGCTGTTTATGTTACGCTGTTTAGAAGGCCATGCTCCTTTTAGGGTGCTTTATCACTTTATGTAGCAAGCAAGTGTCATAGCATATTCAGTTCAGTTGCCAGGTGTGGTTTATGACTTGATGTTTATTGTACTTAATGAGCTTAACCGGGACATTGTTCAACTTTTAAGCCATATTTACTTACAACTTAATTGAAAAAGTGACATATTCTCTCTGATAATCCCAGAATACTTAACAAACAACAAATATAGCAGTTATAGAAGAAGCAGATAGAAAGAAATCGACAAGTTTATACCCAAATCTGGTATACCGTATGAAAACCGGCCGCTGCTCTCCCTGGAGAAGGAGAGCAGCGGCAAACCTAAACTCTCTCTATCTTTACGCCTCTAAACTCTAAGCCTCTGTCGATGGTTAGGGTTCCCGTAAGTTAGCCTCCTTTTATAGGAGAAGTTAGCTAACTTACGGGTTACAAGGAAGCCCACGGGCTGATACACATTTGTGGCCCGTATTACACGTTTAATTGATAACTACACAAATACAAAGATAACTAACTAGATTGAACACCATAAAATATTCCCAACAATCTCCCCCTTGGTGATCAATCGTGTTGAATCAGCATTGCAGCGCATATATCTTTGTCTTTGTTGTTATTGAGCTTCCTTTGTCTTTGAACTCGACTTCTGAGGAAGGCTATCTGAAGAAATCCTTGCAATCTCCCCTTTGATGTCTTCTTGACAATTTGATCTTTGATGCCGGGGGTTGAGGGACCTTCAGTATCTTGCATGTAGTCCTTGCCTTCCAGAAGTTGCTCTTGATCAGCTTGGATGAAGTCCGGTGACGCCTCTAGAATGAATACTCTTTGGAGAATAGGAGACGCCCATGGAATTCATCTTCAGGACACGAGTATTTGACCTCTGTCTCCTCCACAATGTAGTTTTTTTGACTATTTGGAATGAATGCATTTGAGGAGAACTTGTCGGTGGCACAGCGGAACATAATGATGGTTGATTTGTGAGTGTAGCTGACCATTTGATTTGAGTTGCGGAGATAGTAGAGAGGGTGTTGAATTTTGTGATGGAGGAGTGAAGTGTCCCAGAATGATTTGTTCAGTGTTAACAGCATGTGGACCACTCTCCCCCTCATGACGATCCGATGAATCGGGACGTCATGCTTTTATTCTTTTATTCTGCGGAAATAAAAACATGAAAAACAAGTAGAATCTAAAAAAGATAACGTAGCCCCCCGGGGTCGTGAAGACGCCCGTTATCATCACTATAGAGATAAACTCTAAAGCAATGGCCTGAAAATGTTGGTGATTCTTATGTTGCAACAGCAGGACTTCCTTCCAATTATTGGTCTACATCTGTAATAGATGAGCCCTATGGAAGTTCTCGCAAGTCTTGAAGACTAGCAACTGACTCTAAAATGTGTCTGTGTTCTAGAAAATTTCAAAACATTTGGGAATTGATGTAACTAGACACGACGTGATCAATGAAAGTTCAGTGGCATGGGGCTGAGGCCACTGTAGTCAGTATTACTTGCCTCGGAAGGAGACAGTAATGAGAGATGCGGTTCCCCGTGAACTATGATTAAACACCTGTCTGTTGGGAGACAAGTGAGTGGTCTAGGGTAGGGTTGTGCATGCGCCGTTTGGACAAAATGCAGCGACTTCTACCCGGGATCTGAATAAATTCAGTCCTGAACCTATGGGGATAGTCCAGAGTATTTTAGTGGCTAGGAGCAAATGTTCAATTCATAGCAAGCAATTGAGGTAGCAGACTCATCATTGATAATTGTTTTTCTTCTCACCTGAGCCTTCTGCTTCCTAATGCTCATAATGTTCACTCACTCACTCGCTCACTCACGCACTTACGCTCGGCTTTGTCCCTTGGGTAGACTTAGTTGGGTTTACTAAGCCATAGGGACATGTTCTCTCATTACTTTCTTCATTTTCTCTCTGTACTCCCCCTCAACTGGAGCACTCGGTATGCTTTGTCATTGTTAGGCACCGGGGAGGATAACATTGAACACTCCCCCTAAAATGTTGCATCCTTTGAGAGATTCCTTGCTTTGTCGGTGTACGGCGCCAGGAGGAGAAAACTGAAACTCCCCCTCAGAATGTGCAAGGTTTGATTGCTCACAGCTTGTCATACCCGCCATGTGCGTGGAGCAATCTGAACATGTACCACACATGACGGTTTCCCTGAGCTCACCATGTAGAATTTTAGCATATTGATGATCACACAATGTTGATGAGTCAGGGGAGGCTTCAGCAGTTGATTGTTGATTGTTGTAAGATGACCGTTGACGCGAGGTTGATTGAATTATCTACGATTTTCAGACCTTTACATTGAAGTTTAGAAAAGCTTTGACCTCAGGGTTTACAATGAAAGAATTTGAACAGATTTGCCTAAGTTTTGACCTGGACATCGGTGATTTACAATGTTTGTAGGAAAACTCACGTTTTGACCCTCAAAGACTGCGAGTGAGGGCGCGTGAGATTGGGTTCTGGGGCGTAGCCCTAGAATTGATGTAGATCTTTGCGTTAGCTTTCCAACAAAAAAAAGTTTGCTCAAATCGGATCACCGAGTCAAAAGTTATGGCCAAAACAGTGCGGTGTCGCAGAAAATCTCTAATTTTGAGTTTTTGAGGAAAATCTTCGAGGTTGAGGTTCTCGATGTTGAATTTCTAGAGCAGGTGAATTTAAACAAAATTCTAAGGCAAAAACTCGAAATCCAAATCTGGAGATTTTAATTTCGAGTTTGCCTTGAAGAGTAATGACGAAATCCACCTGCAAAACAGACCTCAGAATAACGAAATCTTCAGAATTTCAAAATGTTTGGAACCTCGAAAACTTTGGAGTTTCGAAAAATCTCATAATCTCGAAAACTTGCTGTTTGAAAAACATCAGAACATCGAAAACTCCTGAAACATTTATATAAGCAGGAATCATTCAGAGATCCTTATAATGTAAAGCTTCGATGAACTGCAAAGGATGTCAAGATTCGAATTATGAGTTCCAAGAAACTGCAAACTTTGAAAAATTCAAAACATCGAGAAATTCCGAAAATTCTGAAATTTTTTAGAATGTCGAAATCCAAAACATCGAGTTCCTAAAACTCGAAATAAATTCCAAAACTCGCAATTCCAAAACTCTCAAATTTTTAAAAACTCGAGGTTTAAAACTCGATGTCAGAACTCGAGGTATAAAACTCGATGTCAGAACTCGAGGTTTAAAACTCGAGGTCAGAACTCGAGGTTTAAACTCGAGGTCAGAACTCGAGGTTTAAAACTCGAGGTCAGAACTCGAGGTTTAAACTCGAGGTCAGAACTCGAGGTTTAAACTCGAGGTCAGAACTCGAGGTTTAAAACTCGAGTTGAAGACCGCGAGTTTACACATCGAGTTGAAGACCGCGAGTTTACACATCGAGTTGAAGACCGCGAGTTTACACATCGAGTTGAAGACCGCGAGTTTACACATCGAGTTGAAGACCGCGAGTTTACACATCGAGTTGAAGACCGCGAGTTCATGACTGCGAGTTTAAAACTCTCGATTTTTAAAACTTTCGAATTTTGAGAATCTGAAAACTGTTCTGAATAGCCCTGAAGGTCGCGATCCCTCCTGTATCTGTTTCAAGTCAAAATCGTTTCTGCAGGCATATAAAAGCATAAACTCGAGTTTCCAAGGAGAGTTTTTCGAAAATGAAAATTTGCAGAAAACGAAAAAGAAGATATGTTGTAGAATCGGTTTTGAGAGGCGATTCCAACAGTATAATTTTTACAGATTTTCGTTCACAAACAAGATTACAGGAGCAAAACTCTATATGAAGAAAAAGAGAAGAAAAGCAGAGCATTCTTGGTTAGATCCAAGAAAATCGCAGATACATTCAACCTTTTTCACGCCTCGGCTCTGATACCAATTGATAATCCCAGAATACTTAACAAACAACAAATATAGCAGTTATAGAAGAAGCAGATAGAAAGAAATCGACAAGTTTATACCCAAATCTGGTATACCGTATGAAAACCGGCCGCTGCTCTCCCTGGAGAAGGAGAGCAGAGGCAAACCTAAACTCTCTCTATCTTTACGCCTCTAAACTCTAAGCCTCTGTCGATGGTTAGGGTTCCCGTAAGTTAGCCTCCTTTTATAGGAGAAGTTAGCTAACTTACGGGTTACAAGGAAGCCCACGGGCTGATACACATTTGTGGCCCGTATTACACGTTTAATTGATAACTACACAAATACAAAGATAACTAACTAGATTGAACACCATAAAATATTCCCAACACTCTCACCCCAAAACTTACTTGTTCATTCAGCCCCAAAGTGTTACTCCTTCCAATTCAGATGTCTATTTGGCCTGTTCTTTTCATTAACCTTAAATTGGTTATCTTACCCAATTCAGATAGTTTGTTCAGCTCACAGAGTAAATAGCTCCTTACATATAGATCACTTTTCCAGGCATACACTTGATAGTTAATACAGAAAAATACTTAATCAGTTAATCCAAAAAAACGTCTTAATACATTCTTAATATACACACATATACTAATCCATACCCCGACAAGGGTGGTGGTAGTAGATAGTGATGTGGGTGTAGATCAGATGAGTCTGTACTCTGTAGTAAGACCAGCAACTCCCAGGGGTAGTCTTTGCTACTGAACACATCCTTTTCAATATTTTGATAAACTTATCTGAGATGCAAAGTTCTTGAAGTTACATTAACTTCGTCAATAAATAGCTGGCCCGGTTACATGTCTGGCATGTGTCTGTATTCTTGCTCTAGTTACTGTTCTATCGAATGAGCAGTTACAAGACAGTGTAATAAAATCTGTCGCAGGTTAGATAACACTAGTTGTAGATTTAGGTCTGTTAGCATGCTTTATTGAAGAGCATATCTATTATACTAGAATTATCGTTCATGAAGAGCATATGAACTTGTTGATGGGAAATAGTAACAGAAGGCCAATCAATAATTTCATTTGTAATGCTGCAAGAATCATGTCTTATTATTGCCTCTATTTTCGAAAGTTGGTGTGTACAACCTTGAGCTAATAATGATCAGATTATGCTTTGTTCGCATCTCAGTGAAAGTTTCGCTAAGTCTCTTCAAAGAGTCATGCTATATCTTCAACCCCAGAGGAAATTTGTAGGCTAAACCATATTCTAGGATGTTAATTACGTACCAAAACTAATCCCTTTGGCGTGCCACATTTTTCTGCATATTCAGACATCTTGAACTTCTACCTTCGCTGTGTGTAATGACTTAAGGCTTCCTCTCTTTCTTTTGGAGAATGCATGTAGTATCTCGAAGTGAGGGAAAAGCAGTATGACAAGAAGGTCTATCTGGATGTTTTCACTGTAAGACTAAAGAAGAACCCACTTTTGTTTTATTCCTTTTTACACGCTTTCTTGAAATGGTTCCTTGCATTTTAGGAGCTAACGGCTTCCACTCCCGCCATTTCAAATGTACTGCTGTAAGCTGTAAATTATTGCTGCAAGTTTTGTGATTTTACATGATTTACCAATTACCATTTCTTTTTATTGTGACCTCATATTAGTCAACTTTATTCTATTTAGGTATGTAGCTTCTCAAGACAATAAAATCAACAGCAACTATTTGGGGCCTGCGCCACTTGATGAAATTGCCAGGTCTTTTCTGTAACTTTCTTGCTGCCACTTAATCAACAGCAACCTTCTTTAGCTTTTATTAGCCCATTTTTTTGTACTACAGTGTATGATTGGGCAGTTATTCAATGTGAAAGAGAGATGGATGGGGGATATTCAATGATTGGTGATAGTTTAACCATTCCACTTGAAACCTTAAGTTTTTCAGTTTCAAGCAGATCATTTTATGTGTATGATGCTCATATGTGTAATTTGCATAGATACCTATATTGTGTGCACCAAAATCAATGTTTGCGAGAGATTAGTCGTTTGTGAAATTGGATCTTTTTCAAATGTGTAAATCTTAAAATCTGTACAGCATGTCAAAAAGTACACATCGAGTCTGTAGAAATATATCTTAAAATCTTGTATATTGTTAACTCAGATAACTATTTTCCATTAAAATGTTTTAGGAATATACTCTAGCATATTATTATTGTATAGAATCTTATAGAAATATTCTATCATAGGGACTTAACCCTCCATTGAAATAAACAGAAAATCATTTCCTTGTCATTACTATTCTAGCTTTAATTCTTGCAACAGTTTGCGTGCCTATAGACAACTCATAACTTGTGTCTGTAAATCTATTTGAAAACTCGTAAAGTTTTCACACAAAACAACTACTGTATGTGAATAGACATTGGCTTGCGCGCTCATATGTGTAATTTGATGCATAAATACCTATGCTATATGCACGAAAACCAGTGTATGATGCTCATATGTCTAATTTGCATAGATACCTATGCTGTGTGCACCAAAATCAATGTTTGCGAGAGATTAGTTGTTTGTGAAATTGGATCTTTTTTAAATGTGTAAATAAGTGCAATCCAATTTGTACTGTTTTTTCACCGCAAGATTGGTTCAACATATTGAAGATTTGAAGATGGGAGAAAGATTAAATTGTACAATATGGTTATATGTGAATCTCATATTGGCTACTAAGGTTTCACGTGGACCAAATTGAACACTATGCTTACATGTGGATTTCATATTGGCCACTAAGGTTTCATGGTCCGTCATTTTTAGGCATGTAAAACGAACCCTGCCCGCAAGGACCCGTCCTAGCTCAAGACATTTGGGGCGGGTCTGAACCGCCCCGTCTTGCAAATGAGGCTGGTCCGCCCTGCCCTGCCCGTACAATAGAGTGGTTCTGGGTATTAGTATTGACCCATGTTGCCCCGCCTCACCCCGCTCTATTTATGAGTATACATAACTTTTTTTAAAATTATACTTCAAATTTACATATTCGTACACATATGTGTATAATAAATCATAAATTCTTTGGTCTTATAATATTTTTCTATTAATATTCGAATGAGATGAACGGTTAATTGTCGACGTCTTTTTTATATTTAGCATTTGTTATTTCACTTATTAATATAAATTGATTAACTTTTCACGTCTAGGTAATTTTTTCTTAATTTTTTACATTTTCAACGCATTGTGACCTTGTTTTAATATATTAATTTTTATAATTATTTGGAGATAAATTTTACGTAAATTTATGTGGTGACCACTTCACGCAAATAAAAATGCATACTAGCTAATTTGGTTACGACGGGGCAGGTCCACGTAGCAAAGTCACGGGGCGGATTTGGGTCTTGCACTACCCGCCCCGCCCCAACCCATTGCCATGTCTAGTCGTTTTTGGACAATCACGATTCTCTTTCATTAATAGAAACTAGTAAACTCACCCGTGCGATGCACGGTCTGAGATTTTTTCTTTCAAATTTATGTACTTACTGATTCAAATCACACTATCAATTGATGACTTTATCTATCTTCATGTAATACTGATATACATAAAAACATTAAATGAAACACACTTATAATATTATGGTCAAATGAGAGTACTAAACATTACTTAAAAGATCAAAAACATCCAACAAATACGTTGAAACCATCACATTGTAAATATGCATTTAAAGTAAACCTAAACATTGTTGAACACTTCTTTGAATACAACATTCTGAGTCTTGTCATTTTGTCAATGGTTCCTTCATCTTCATCACCAATTAAAATTTTTAAATTTACACGAATTTTTTAGGCGAATTGTCTCTCTAAATAGGTAAAATATGTGAAAGTGTGTTATGTCATTCTTGAATTATACTTGAATCTAAATTTGTGGGAAAATGTTCAAATAGGTGCTTCTACTATTTCTAATATCCAAGTATGGTCTGGTCTGGTTGGTTTAAGTTTGGTTTGGGTTGAGATTGAAATAAGTCTAAGTATAAACGTCTCAAGTAATGTGGTGACTATGCATTTATACGAATTGATGCATCTCAACCAATAGAAAATTAGTATTTTAATCAAAATAAAGTATCCAATTAAAATAAAAATAAAACTTGATGTTGACATTTCTTGGAGGGAACACTATTCCTCAAAATTCTTTTGCTTTTATATCAGAATAGATGGTTAGTCTTATTTTTTCCTTTCCTTTTTTTGTTTCAATAAACTAACTTGGTTGATGTATATAGTTTTGGAATATTTAATTCGAGGTTTTAGAATATGTAGTTCGATTTTAATGAAGAACTTCTTATATTTGAGAAGTCAAAACTATATTTAGGACTTTTCATTCATGCGATTTTATGGAACTTTGGGAAATATCGTGTTGTTAAATTCTAATGAAATTATAGAATTCAGTTACAATATAATAGATTTCTTAATTGCATCATCTAATTATATATTCTAAATCTAAATACCCCAATTAAGTTATTTTTAATTTCTAGGTACAAAAAACAAAGGAAAGAGAATGCTAATAGCTTTCATTGATGGAATATGAAAAACCTTTGGGTTGGTATCCATAATGATAAAAAAACGTTAATAAGTGCTTATTTGGTCCATTTGAAACCTTACTTTCCAATATGAGATTCACATGTAACCATGGTGTCCAATTTGGTCCATTTGAAACCTTAGTGTCAAACATGATATACATGTATAACCATAGTTTTCAATTTGATCCTTACCCTTTGAAGATTGGCATTAAGATACAACTTTTGGTATATTTTGATTCCTTTCTAGACACGAGAGTTGCCTGTTGGAATTTCACAGGAAAATATTTTTTATGTGGGTGGTTAACCATGAACACATGTTACTGTTCTCCACCAATCATCACCAGCATCAAGCTTACTGTCGCCGCTCGGTTCAGTTCTTACGCCGTCACTGGCTGCATCACAGCCGGCATCTCCATCGTTGCAAAAATCCCTAATGGCTGCTCTGTGGCCACCTGCAAAACCTCCTTCACTGCTGTCAATGAAGGAGCCCCATAATTGTTGGCAATTCTACCATAATTGCTGAGATCTTCGCTGCCCATGCCCCAATTTCTATAACATATGCATCCGCCTACAACTCCAAGCAGCCCCATCCGAGGTGGTCTTGCACCTCCAAACAAACTCACCAAGGTTGGCAGTGCCATTGGTAGTAAAGAACAGCAATCCCTAGGTGCCCCTGAATTCAAACGATAGTAGGTTGCACCCATAGTTTCAAAGAAGAATCAAAAGCTGGTTTGTTTTGATTTTTGGTGTAACACACTTGTTAGTTGGAATGATAATCTTAAAACTCCAATTATATGATGGTCCATGTATAGCGCACACGCCAACATCCACCTAATTCCTTGAAGGCCAGTTTGATAAAAGATGGATTCTTAATCTACCATTTGACCGTGGAAAAGCTTCATAATTGATATTACACCTCTTCAAGCTGGACAACAAGCTTGATATCAACTAAGGGACTAATGACATGAGCGTGTCTGGAGTTATTGGATTGCTATTAAAGGACAAGCTCCATGGTGAGGAGCTATAAGAATGGACTAAGTGTTTGGTAGATGAAACCAATATGTATGATTAAGTGTTTTGTATTTTGAAGAAATAGCCACTTCTCAGAACTTGGAAAGAGCTCATACCAGGGAATGGTTAAAATATACACTCAAACCAATAATGGAGTAGCTGAATATGCCTATTCTCCTGAATGTTAATCTCGTTAATAGAACATGTTATAAGGGAACTTAATTGCATGTCTAATAATGGAGTTACAAACAAAAGTTTTGCTTTGTGCATTTAACAAAAAATCCAACCATTTATCCATGACTACGATTGAGAGCTAGTGGGAGTAGCTGCAGCTCAAGTGTTTTCCTAACCTGACTTCTATAGTGCAGACAAATTGTTCGTGCTGAAGGGCCTTCTGGACCAAACAGAGATTACCTTTTTCAACTTGAGAAAGCACTTGGTCTGTTAGGTATGCTATCTAGTGAGCATTAATTCTTCCATTAATATGTTTTGTTTGAGAATGGCGCCGTTCGTCCCCAATTATTAGTGTGGTGTAAACTCAGTCTCGTTGTAATTGGCAGGTCAAGAACCTCAATTATTTGCAAAGTGGTGGTTTGTTAGCAAGGCTATCTTACAGTTATGTAATATGAACTTCAGAAACCCTAAATTGTCAAGTGTAATATTGTAAAATATGTGTCCTTGCTTATGCATCCAAGCTTTGTGTAAATGGATGCTAAGAGTTTCCATGTTAGGTCATTCGTGAGTGTAAAAATTTATCCAAATGCATCCCTGGTATTGTTCAAGAAAAAATTGAGGCTTTTGTTAGGATAGATTTTGAAGAAATATTACACTTTCCAGTGACCTAATTGGAAACGTCATGTACAAGGGCCACACTTTACTATATAACTTAGAGGGCTCTAAACTCACATTTACATGTAAATCAGTAAATGTTAGATACTGTTGAGGCCAAAATCCGCCATTAAAAATAATTGAGGCCTTTAATCTGTGAGTGGCAAATTCTTTACTGTAAATTTTCACAGAACCTAAGGTAATGAATGGACCAGGGGTGTTAACAGAAAACTATATATCTCATGGGCTATAGTGCAAGTGTACAGTATTGAGTCTATGACATCACCTTCACTCCAACTATGTTGGCACTGATGATACATTTTAAAAAATAGTGACATTTTTATCCCAAAATGATTATTTATCATGAATAGTGCAGTTCCAATTACATTAGAGCAGGTGATGTGAAACTAATAGTCAATCACTCAATTGTGTATTGTTAGTTGATACTAAATTCATGCACATAAATGCACATAAATGTTATGACAAAATATCAAGAGAGAAAATCAATGAGTTGAGATCATTGTTAGTCATGTCCCGCTTGAAAGTTAATATCTTAAATTAATGCAATTTCTGAAATATTCATTGATGGTGACCCAAATATTAGATTAAAATAAAAAGCCTTCAACCAAGGCAGTGAAACAACTGCCTTGTTAATATTGAATGATGGTTTCTTAAAGTTGATGGCTGTTTTTCTCGTGTCGAGGGCACCCATTGCTCTCTGCCATGATGTTGCAGTTGTATGTTTATTTCAACCATTTTTTTGTCTAATGTTTCGGTTGTGTGCTTCTATTGTGTTTCTATCAACCCTCATTGAACCAGGATGTGAAGATAAGCACATCACTGATCTCGCAAAGGAGGTGCGGCACATCCTTGCAGAGGCCATCTAATCGCTCCTGACCCCAATTATCTATATTGTTTCGCCTTTTGTCATCACCGGGTCTGCATTTCCTTAAGGTCTATTTTGTTGTAGCCATGGAAGGGTTTGAAGTGAAAGGTTTGAGGGGCCTGAGTCCATTCTTCATATATATTTTGCATTAAAATACAATTAAAGAGTACATAGTATGTAATCGTACATGATCTCCCCGTATAAACTATGCCCTCCAAAGCCTTCTCCCCCAACTCCCTTTAGAAACAACCTTCATCCATAATTGCCCTTAAGAGATGCATTTGTTATTCCTGAGTTCCTGACATTTGTGCTTGAAAGTAGAATGCATTCATATGTGGTGGGTGCTATGAGACAATGTTAAATCTGAATATTTAGTAAAATTTTATGCTATATTATAATAAGAGATGAGGAGAGAATGAATCAATATATATTCTCTTCCGATTGCGTGTTTTGGATATCTTAGTGACTTGATCTCTTTCAAGTTTCAATTTGACTATGCTCTCAGGCTCTCTCTCTGCCTTCCCCTCAGAACCCCTCCATCCAGACAGACCCCAAGTGTTCAATGGATACATGCATTGAAATATTACAATGAGATTGGACAAATGAGATTTTGAATTTTTTTTAATAGTTGTCATTTGCGCCCTTTGTATTACTGAGCCTATTGGCAACATTTTAACTTGAGGTTTCCCATTACTACTTGAGTTATTTGAAAATTCATAGTAGAATGGTACATGAATTTTGCATGAATCCGAATTCGCAGGATTTTGGTTCTTCTCGATAATGCTTGTCGAAACAAAAGCACTGCCAGAGTTGATCTTGTGTTTTCTTAAGCCATACGGGCATAATTGTATATAGGGATGGACCCGGATCGGACCGGACCTTGTCCCGGAACCACCGGTCCCGGTTTTTGAAATTGAGGACCGGAACCGGACCAGTTCTTTACGGACCTGGTTCCGGTCCAGTCTCCCGGCCGGTCCCGGTTCCGGTCTAGTCCTTTTTTTAAAGTTAATGGAAAATTTTGGCCGTTGGGACCGGGACCGCTCGGTCTGGTCTCAAAAAATGCAACCCGGGACCGGGACCTTATTTACCCGATCGGGAACCCAGTCTGGGACCACCGACTGGGTCCACCCCTAATTGTATAGGACATCTGTATGATGGACAAAAGGACAAATAAAGTAATACTTAAGGAATTCAGTCTTGTTTATTTTTCTTTATTTTTTGTTTTGCTTTAATGTACTGGTTATTAAGTTTGTTTGGTTGTTTAGTTTTCCCACCTACTCAATTAGATTAAATTTATCTTGCGTTTATTTTCACTTCAATATAGTTGATATTTTAAAAACAAATGAGAAAACGAAAATACAAGCATCCAATAACTAAACAACTTCTATTATGCGATTATTTAAAGAGATTTTTACATAAATATTACCGATAGTATATGGAGTTGACAAAAATGTGATTATTAATACGGAACACGTACAACATTATGGGAGTAAATTAGGGCAAAAAGTCATATTTTTGTTAGTGAAGTTTAAACTAGTAATATATGTGTAATTTTTCCTTCTTTAAAAACACGCAAGCATTTTCAAAGAGTAAAATGTCATATTCTTGGCATTTTCAGAGAAATGTGACATTTTATTCACAACATTTTTTCCCGGCACTCTGAGGTGATTGTGGTGGAAGGTGGGAGATGTGGAGGTAGTGGCCTACATATTTTGAATATTTTTTTAGGTATTTTGTTTTTTTATTTTGTTTTAATTTTTTTTTTAATTTTTACATTTATTTTTTTAATTATTATTTTATATTTTGCCGATTTTTTATTAATTTATAATTTTTTCAATTTTTTATGTTTTTATTATAGGTTGGGGACAAAATAGGAAGAAGAGACATATTACTCCTACTTTGGGAATAAAATGCGTATACTTCTTATGTGAAATTTTGACTGTTCTCGAAAAGCTTGTTTAGTCTTCGGTACTTTTTAAACTACATAATTAATGTTGAATAAAATTGACTCTTCAAAACAATGTTTTAATAGGTTGAAATTACCGGTGGGCGTAGCTCAACTGGTAGTAAGGGAATGCCACAAGGGTTGGGTTTCAAGTTCAAATCCCGTCAACTAGGGGTGGACTCGGGCCGGGCCAACCGGCCCGGAACCGGACCAGCCCGCTACTGTGCGGGCCCAGCCCGGACCAGTGAACCGGTTCCGGGTCCGGTTCGGGCCAACCGACCCGGTGGGATGGCGGTTCGGTCTCGGGCCCTTCAAAAGGTGAACCGGCCCGGCCGGTTCAGGCCCGGGCCGGGCCAATTTTTTGTTTTTGTTTTTTGATTTTTTTTAAGTTTTTGGGTTGGGCTGGGTATTTTGGGCCATTTGAGGTGGTTAGGGTTGGTTTGGGGGTGTGGGGGAGGGTTGGGGGTTAACTAGGAACCGGTCCACCCCTACCGGCAACTGCGATGAAGAGTTACTGTGCTAAAAATGCATAGGGCCTCTGCAAGTACCGAGGACAGAGCCCCACTCTCTATCTGCCAGATTGAGATTATAGTCCAATTTACATCTTCCCAACGTACCGTCCGATAAGGGTTGGGGGACCTTCAGGGATGGAGTGTCATCCTTTTTTTAATAGGTTGAAATTCTTTTTATAATAATATTAGTGAAAGTTGTTGGAGCAAAAGACCCAATAGCCGCTGAGGATCAATCTGACAAGCCGTGCGAGTGTCCAACACTGAATGATACTTGGGGCAAATTGCACCACTTATATATGCAATATACTCCTAAAATCTTGAAAAATAATAAATCACATATATACAAAAGCAGACATACCAAAACAAATGTAAAAATGTATTTCGAAGGAAATACATAAAAGGAACATTTGAGAGGCCAAAAACATGATATACTCCAAAAGAAATTATTAAACAAAACAATATAGTTAGTGAATTTGTAAATATAAGAAACACTAAAATATGATCAGAAGTGGGCATGGCACTACAACTACCCTTTCTATTCATACTCACTCATACTTGGATCGTCGGGGATGTTCAAAGAATTCTAAAGAACCCCATACTATTTTTGAAAGAGATACGCTTGGTAGTTCAATTTTGTTTGATTCCCCATTATTGTTCTCACATGTGGTGCATCATGGATGCAGATATTGGGGGGGGGGGGGGGGGGGGGGGGTGTTAAAAGACCCCAATGTGCCCACTGTTAATATAATTGAACACTTGCTTCAGATTCCCTCTGGAAGGGCGGGCATTAACTGCGAATTTGCAGATGTATACCAACCTTTGTCTCAACTCTAGCTTGCTGATATTTCTCTTGTTAATGGAAATCCTTTCATCAAAACATCCTATTGTAATCAAGCATCATATGAAATAGGTAAATAAATAATGAGCTTTCCTACGGAAAATACATTCTGAGCAAACTATTTTATTATGATTGACATAAAATCTAGCGGAGTGCACATACCTTTGTCATCAAATAATGCCAACAATATCCCCAAGCAGACACAGATGCTTATATCTTCTCCTGAAAGAAAGACAAACATGTCACTGAGATAAAATTCTACGTGTTTTATCACTTTTATGCACTTATATTACAATAAATTTGAATAACTTGGAGGTGCAAGTTAAAAATAGTAAAATATGCAGTAGTGAACAAGGAACAAACCATTCACACAACATACAAGAAGTCTCTTCCCTTTCTTCAGGTTAGCATTGGCAAAATTGATAGCCAAAGGAAGACTTCTTGACACAGAAAACCGATCAAATTTACAGCCCTGTTTTCCATCATAAAAGGTGAGAGCTAGGCACGAGGACGAGAATACAGGATTGCCGATACACAAGTAATTACTTGAGCATTGTGATAAATACTCTCCTTATCACGTGACTTACAACAATTGGTAGGTGTAAATAGGCTTCAGGATCATCCAGCAAGTGGGGAAATTCTTCAAGGCCACAGTTCAGTATGCTATCAAAAGAGGAGGCGTTCTTAGCTGCATGGTTAAATACTTGAATCTCATTAAATGAACGACGGAGATCATGCAGGTGGCTGATAGTACTTTTCTACACTGCCCACTTCATAATACTTGCTGTACTGGCAGCACACACTCAAGCACGTTTATAGAAGTACACACACACATTAAAATTAATATCAAATTTATTCTAGGATTTTGGGGCTTTATATATATATAGGTTTTGGTTCAAATAACAACATGATCTTAGGAGAGAAATGAGAATGAATCTGGACCGTTAGATTTGCTTTAAGTGAAATTCAATGTGCGTTAGATGAAACCGTAATGTGCATTAGGTGAAATTGAAATGTGCAACACAAATGGTACGATACAGTGACATAATGTGATGCTGAATTGTGCATCAGGTGAAATTGAAATTTGTACTAGGTGAAACTGAAATGTGCAGAATAAAAGGTACAATGTGATGTTATTTGTGTACCTTTTATTCCGCACATTTCAGTTTCAGCTAATGCACACTTGGGTTTAAATTTTTATTCAGCACATTTCAATATCATCTGATGCACATTTCAATATCATCTGATGCACATTTCAGTTTCACCAAATGCACAATTCAATTCCACATGATACAATACAACGGTCCAGATTCATTCTCATTTCTCTCCCGAGAGTCCGTTCTTACCGGAACCGCTCCCAAGTGTAAGAACGGACTCTCGGGAGAGAAATGTGAATGAATCTGGACCGTTGGATTGTATCATGTGGAACTGAATTGTGCATTTGGTGAAACTGAAATGTACATCAGATGATATTGAAATGTGCTGAATAAAAATTTAAACCAAAGTGTGCATTAGCTGAAACTGAAATGTGCGGAATAAAAGGTACAAAAATAATATCACACCGTACCTTTTATTCTGCACATTTAAGTATCACCTAGGGCACATTACAACGTCGCCTAATGCACAATTCAGCTTCACATAATGACACTGTATCGTACACTTCGTGCTGCGCATTTCAATTTGACCGAATGCACATTACAATTTCATCTAATGCACATTTAATTTTCCTCGAAGCAAATCTAACGGTCCAGATTCATTCTCATTTCTCTCCTAGGATCGTGTTCTTATTTGAACCAAAACACACACACACTCCCTCCATCCCTGCAAATTTTTCTCGTTTTCCTTTTTGGGCCGTTCCAAAATTTCTCATTTCCCTTTTTGGAAAGTTTTGTGTGTCTAGCATTCATTTACCTTTATCTTACTCGATTACAACTATACATTTTCACTTTATTCCCACTTTCTTAAACTCCGATCCAAGTCAAATTGGGAACTATTTTGCGGGATGAAGGGAGTACATAATTTGGCGCAATGAGAACATGATCTAAGGAGAGAAATGAGAACGATTCTAGAGCGTTGGATTTGAGTATCATGCATTATATGAAACAGAAATGTGCACTATCATAAATTAGAAAATGTGCATTTGAACAGTGCATCAGTTTAACCACAAATGTGCACATTTGAATTTTGCATTATTTTAACTATAAATGTGCACATGAACCATAATGTGCACCGTTTTGGAGCATTCTCATCTCTCACATTAAGGAGTGTTTTCATCGGAACCGAACCCTATAAATATACATATATCATTAAACTTATGATTCCATTATGCACATCATTCCATTGCATCGCATTGTCATACAACATAGCCTTAGTTCGTAACATTGCGCTGTTTGGTTACTTAAGTAATGGAATGAAATCTGCAACCAG